GTCTTAAAATCAACTAGGGCAAATTGTAACCTGGGACAAAATTCCTCTTTGCTGAGGGACCTAGAATAAAAGTTATCTGCTTTCAAAGTACAATGATGGATCAGGCATGAGGTACACATTCCTGTTACAAATGGAGAAATTGGAGGAGAAAAGGTGTACCTGGTTCTAAGCAAGTTAAAACCAAACTACCTAAAAAACCTCCACAGGACTATTTTGATTAATTCTGAGGGCTTTAGAATACTCCTCTGTTCTCTGATACCATCTCAGCGGTGACCCTACCCTTCAGACTCTGGATGTTGACCATGCTTTCTGAATACTGGGTGGCGCTCCCTCAACTTGGCGTTCAGCTCTGTCTTCCACGCTCGCTGGGATGGCAACTCGGCTTTCTTGATTTTCCGTGACCCAGTCTCCGGTCCATCTGAAAGACAGCCTCACTCTCTTGGCCCCAGGGTCGCAAGCTCCTTTCATCAGTGCCTTGGGCATGCGGTCCTGCCCACTCAGCTTTAGACAGCGACTCTGACCCCATCCACTGGGGACTCATAAATGCCTTCCCCGCCGTCCAGAACCAAGTTGGTGATGATCTGACTTTTGGAAACGATGATTCCCACCCACCCCACTCCCCTTACAATAGACTCTGACCGACAGTAACAGTGCTCATCCTTGGGATGATCATGTTTTTATGGAACTGTCAAGTCACATCATTGCATAACTGCCGATGAGAACCACGGCCCAGCCAAGTGGACACACACACAGTTAGGGGACACAGCTCCATCCCCGACAGACCTGTAGCATAGACCCCGGAAGCACCTTGAAGCTACTGCTTTCCCTCAGAGCTAGACAAACTTCAGACCCGCACCAGCATGTAATGTTCCATTCCGCACAGCTGGCACCCCTTCTTGAATAGCTGTAACACACTCGGATTGGGAAAACAGGTCCTCAGATGGTGCCTTGAATGAGAGAGGAACGATGTGCTGGCTTACTCTGGTTCTCTAACTCCCCACAGCCTCCACTGCCCTTCCTTTACCAACAACTCAAGATTCAGGCATGGAAAACTCATCAACAAAGTTGTGTTCTATGGGAAGACCCCCTTCCCCCCAATTGCTCATTTATTCCATGTGTTCTTCAAGGCCCCTGTATTTTACTGCTTATCCAGAGGAAGTTTTTTTTTTCCTTTCCTTTTTTGACACCTGGCGGTGTGCAAGCAGGTGGGCGGGAAATAAAATGCTGTGAAGTTTGTCTAAATTGTGTCGAGCGTGTGGCTTACATCGTAGCCAATTGAAAAGGCAGGCGATGGGATGTCATGGAGATTTAGGAAGCCCTTTTTCTAAAACACAAGTTTATGTTTGGGAAACGTCTGACTGTGAATGCCTCATGGTCCCATAAAGTTTGTTGTTTTTTAAGGGACAGCAACTCTCTTTTTGTATATTATTGCTGCCCATTGGCTGTAAAGACCATCAGCCCAGACCAAGGGTAAGACACGGGCGGGGGAGGCGCGGGACACGGTTCTGGGTGCGGCTCTCCAGCTTCATCAAGCAGGCAGGGGGCAGGCACCAAGGAGGCCAGTCTGCTCTTGCTGCACTGCAGATAGGGTAGCAGGCAGGGCTTGGCATGGCCCCTACTCTTTCCCTCCCTTCCTCTGCAGGCCCACTCCTCAGCCACCTCCAGCCTCCACCAGCAATTCCAGCCGTCGTGACAAGGACAAATGGAAGCAGGCTCCCGCCAGGTTTTAATGTGGTGTCCACACAACTTCCAAAGGGCATGAAGTCCTATTTCACGGCACGAATCCTGAACATTAAAGGATGGAGCCTGGTAAGGCAGCATGGGGCTAATAGAAGCGCTAGCTAACATTTCTGAGCTCACTATCACAATTCACCTTATCAGAATCTCTGGATGGACAAAGGCTTAAAAGGTGGTTGCTTTCGGAATCCATTTGTCCCTCGCTAATTAATCTGTGATTAGCAGCTCTTTCTTGCTCAGCAGATATGGAGTTTGAGAAATCTGAGCATGCTGATAATACAGAGACAGTAGCTGTCTCACTGTGATGAGCCCTTTGTGCGATCCATAAATGTCAGCAAACCCAATGAAGGTGCAATTAGAGCTCACCACCCTTCTTTCATAACGGCGGGAGCTATTTAGGGAGCATCTGAGCCAAAGAAATCTTTGTGCTCTTCGAACTTTTGAAACGATGCTTACCTGTCAAAAATGCCTTGTGAGAAATCAGAAAGTGCTCACGGCTTTGAGCACTTGCTCTGGGAACTGATACATTTCTCCATCAGGCCCCAGCAACCCTGGAAACCTGCTCATGTCTATGCACAGAGATTACCTTAAGAGCCCCCTAAAGACCATCTTGAGCCCATTTGTATGGTTGGATTTTTCATACTGGAAACCTGAGAAAGTTTACCAAGTTTGCAATCTACAAGGCAAAGGGAGAGCTGGCCTAACGAGGTTGGAAGTTTGCAACCACATGTGCACACTTCTGGGCTGGTGGGACAAGACCAGGCTCTGCCACACAGTTATCACCGAATGAGGCTGCCTCAGTTGGCCCCAATCGTACCATTATGTAATGACAACACAAACTGAAAATCTCTCAGGTGCGAGGTGGTATGCTAAGCTCTTTACAGGCACTAGCATATGTAATCCTCAAATGTAATCCGTGTGTAAAGTGGGCACTACAAAAGCAGTTAAGATTATGGCCTACTGTAGACCCATTTTACAGTGAAGACCCCAATGCTTATTAGGAGAAGCAACTTGCTCAGGGATGCCACAAGCCAAAGCCAGGTTTCTCAAGAGTGTTTAACTCCTGTCTTGTGGTTGCCTCCTTTAATATGGTGTTTTTAAAGAATTTTCTCATCCTAGCAATTACAGTACAGATTGTACCCAACTCTGCTTGGATTTGCAATCAGGCAAGATCAGGAGTACCTATGGGAGTTTTATATCCAAGCACTACTCAGTGGTGAATGGATTTGGGACCACAAGGACAACAAACCCCTCTGAGATGTCATGGTTCTAAGCCTGTGGAAACCCATTTCCCCTCAGCCAGGGTGGATGCTATGCAGGAGAATAAGCCAGAGAAGAACCCTCCACCATCCAACTACTTGGATCTTTCAGGTTAAGTGTTTTCAACTTCGTTCTCTAATTTCTCTCATTTTCAGAATTGCACCCTACGGTTCAGAAGTCTGTAGAGCCTATCCCATGGGCTTTCATTCCACAGGCCTCGTCTCAACATAGTGGGGCCAAAGGAGGGGGAGTCTCTCTGGGGACCAGAGTTTCTGGATGGCCTACATGGTGCAATCCATCTCCCAAATAAAAAATCCACTTACCCTCTCTCCCCTGAGGAATGGGGCAGACCCCAAATGTACACGGCTGGAGCAAAAGGGCTCAGGAAATCCAAAAGGGTGTAATGGCCTTTGGGGTAAGTAGACATGTTTGGCGCAGAACCTAGGAAACCATGGAGCCATCTGGGTGCTGACAAGAACCTGCATTTTGTCGGTGTGTGGCCTGCCCGTGACAAAGCACGTTCATAAACATCTGACTTGGTGGGAAACAGAGACAACACAGACCCACAGCCAACCTGTGTAAGGCAGGTGCTGTCATTCCCATTTTATGAGTGAGAAGATCAAAGTGAACATTAGACACTGAAAACTATTGGACACAGAAACAGGAGGCTAGATGTTACGTGTGATGAGGGCAGGGGGCAGGGCCTTCCATAGTCTTTTCTTCTGGAAATGCCCTGTTGCAGTCCCAGCCCCTGGCAAGACTCCTAGCACAAAGTCACCAGCGCATAGCGGCTCGGCAAAGGGAGGCAGGGACGGGACCATGGTTCCACAACAAGACAGTGGAAGCAGGATTGCAGAGCTGATGTGAACTTCCAGGCTCGTGTTCACAGCAGTGCAGGGACAGGGGAACTTAACTAACTCTAAGGCATGGGGCCCGTGAGAAGGGGGCAGGTGAAACCCAATGTCTCCTCTCCTATAGCTCACAGCTCTGTCAGCTCCATTACTAACTGAACCTGACCGGGCCCTGTAGTTTCCTTCAACCCTTACTAGGTTGTGGAAAATCCAGAAAATAGGATGCACCACAATTAGGGAAAGAAAAAAAAAAAAAGACAAAGAAACGAGCTTGTGGCGAGATTCAGAGCCCAATCATAACTTACATGTGCAGCTACGCACCTCTCGGAGAGCGTGGCTTCTGCCCTGATTACTAATGAATGAGGGGCACAGCTGCCCATTGGAAGGGCACGGTGCTGATTGTGCCGATCTTGCGGAACGGAAAAGCTCTGTGGTCTAGGCAGGTAAAGGAGTTCTTCCACATACATCTCACGAGATGAAAAGAACCCAACCGGGCAGAAGGGATGACATAAATGGAAGCCAAAACCAAAGAGTGAGCAAGGTGGCGACCGACCCTCTCGTGTCTCTCCGAGGGGCAAATCCCATGAGTTCTCGGAAGCCCTCGGATGCACAGTGTCTGAACTGTGGGCACGTTTATTTAATCAGCAGATGGCATTCGGAGTGAATTCGCATGCAAATGCACTGGCACCATTGAGAGAAGTGGGTCATTTACAGATTTTTTTTTTTTTTTTTTGAGAAGAGTGAAGACTGTCTTCAGGCCAATGTGCACGTACAGCCTAATTCTTCACGGGCCATTCCTTCTTGCTACCATCGCTGCACAATGTGAGGTCATTCCGCCCCACGGCGGGGGGTGGGGTGGGTTCCCATGTTGTTCTGGGGGGAGGAGATCCCCAAGAGGCATATGCAGACTGAGCCCCAAGTAGAGGGACACAGAAAACCGCTTCTAATGAGGTTTTCACAGATCGCCGCACGAGAGCGAAAGGAGGCGGGAGAGCCAGTTTCCACTTCTCCTCACCTGCCACACGCGGTGGAAGTTTCCAGACAGAAAAAGCCCCTGGAGTGAGCTCCCCCTTCACCCCCCACCCCCCCACCTGCAACCTTTTCACTGGAAAGAAACAGACATTACTAAGGAGACACTTGGCCGTCACCTACCGTTCGACTTTTCGCTATCGGCAGGTTTCATCTGAATGGGATGATGCATCTGAAAACACAGAAGTGAGAGAGTGAAGGCAGATTGAACAGCTGGAAAAGCAAGTCTCTGGAAATCAGGCTATCAATGTGAACACGGCGGATGTTTCAGGGGCATGCAAATCACAACACGACTTCTGCTCCTCCCAGTTAAAATGAGCAATGAGCTCGCTTAAAACAGAGCTGGGGTCTTGTGGACACAGAATCCCTATATGTTTTGAGGCATGGTCACGCCGGGTTGAAAAGTTTGGGCTTTCGATTCAGATTTGAGTTCAGAACCTGGTTTCACCACTCAGTGCCTTTCTGCCGCTCTCCGCTGGTTTGTTTAGGCTGGGTCTGCCCTGATGTGGAGTGGCATGGCCCAGAGCAGGTGTCGTGATTTCTCTGGGCTTGAGTTTCCTCCCCTGTGAAATAGGGATGGGGGGGTGTGTGTGTGTGTCATGATACGAGGCAGTAAAGTCCATGGTCTGTGCTGGAAAAACAAGAGCTAGCGATGCTTACCTGATTAGAATATTACACATTTAAGCAAAGCTTACTCTTGTGTCTCCTCTGGCCGTTTCAAGGTCTGTGGTGTGGGTTTTTCTTAGGATGCACAGGGATGTGCGGGGCAATGTGAAGTTTTAGCAGGTGACTGACTGACTCGGTTGTCAGAGCCACTGCATGAACGAAGGCAGGCAGGCAGGTACAGACCTTACCTTGTAAGGCTTACACCGATATGCACACAGTGTATAAAGAACCCGAAACACAAACCCACACCGATCCCTCTGTGGTCACATCCATTCTGATCCAATGCACTGCTAGAGCACAGAATGGAAGCGGGCAATGGGGTTCCCAGCGCTGTAAGTCTTTAGGGAAGCAGAACCCCATGTCTTTCTCCCATGCTGCAATGGATTTGAGCAGCCGGCTTTTCGGTCAGCAGCCCAGCTGGGCCACCCGTGTGCCACCAGAGGTCCTTTCCTGAGACACAGCGGTGCCCATATCCTCAATCACTGCAGAACTGGGTCCCCCATGGTTGCTTAGACAACACTGGCCACACCACCGCGCGTGATCCATGGCGTTTACTCTGAGCATGGAATGCAGCCACCATACCTAATGAAAATAAATCCCTCAAACTACTTCCCAAGATCCTCTTGCTTCGTATCTTAGCATCCCCCAAGGAACACAGAAGCCACGGCGTGGATGGAAACCACTGGCTGTGCAATGCTTTTGTTGTAATGGGTCCTGTCCGCTCTGAACCTTAAATTTCCCCAGTGGACTTCCATCACTTGCAAGCCGCAGCTCTGGGTTTATTCTAATTTCAATGACAAGATGGATAGACACAAGGGCTGCAACAACAGGCTCAAGTATGGGACAAGTGAGAAGAGGGCACAGGCTGGGCAGTGCTTTGTCTCTTGTGGGTAGGGTCACTACGGGTTAGACGGACTCACTGGCACCGAATAATAAACCGTGTTAGATGCTGAGGATATATGGGAACCAAAAGTGTTGGAAGCAACCGATCACAATGATCGACATATAACTCCCTCCCAGGGGGACGGACAACAGAAAAGTGGGTGAAGGGAGACAGCGGTCGTGGTGTAAGACATGAAACATTTGTTTTATACATTATCAATGGTTCATGAGGAGGGTGGGGGAGAAGGTGGAAATGAGCTGATACCAAGGGCTCAAGTAGAAAGAAAATGCTTTGAAAATGATGGTGGCAACATTTGAACAAATGTGCTTGACACAATGGATGGATGGATGGATTGTTGTAAGAACTGTAAGAGCCCCCAATAAAATGATTTAAAAAACAAAAACAAACAAATGTGCTGGAGTCTGTCATGTAGTGGGAGAGGCGAACAAACACCCGAGGCATTTCCTACAGTATGAGATGTGCAGGGTTTCGACCAGAAGCGGGGGACTCAGAAGGGCCTCAGCACAGATGAAGGAGTGCAAGCTGAAGGTGTCTCAGTGGGAGCCACGTTTGAGTTTAGCCGGGAAGATATCCCAATAGGAACCAGGAATTGGGTCAGGGACATTCCTGGGAAAGGAGCAGTGTCTCCAAGGGTGGAGAAGAGGAGAAAATTGGCCATATTTATTATAGCTTAAATCATTTACACCCCCTTCCCAAATACCTGCTGAGAATCTTAACCTGCGAGTCTTAACCAGTCCAAGAGCACATTGCTCACTCGTTAGCCCTCGGTGCCCTCCGACATTTTGCGCACTTAATCTGCTCACGTGTAAAAGACTGGACTCAAGCCCACAGTCTTTATTAATCTTCCCTTATTAATCTGCAGAGACAACCCAGTCCTAACTGGGAATAAAACCAAGGCCTTTAGAAATGGGTTGGCTTTGCTACGGTAGAAGGGCAGGACTAGTATAGAGTGTGCTTTGAGCCAATCCCTTACATAATTTAGGTCATCCGGGGATGATGTGATGGAGTAAATGAGTTTTCATGTATCAAGGACAGGAATTTTGAGGGGTCCAACGGTGAGATGTTATGGATTGAATTTTGTCCCCCCCCCCCCCAATTTGTGTTATCAATTCTAATTTCTAGGCCTTGGTTTTATTCCCATTTAGGACTGGGTTGTCTCTGCCTGTTAATAAGGGAAGATTAATAAAGACTGTGGGCTTCAGTCCAATCTTTTACACGTGAGCAGATTAAGTGTACAAATTGTCTGAGGGCACAGAGGGCTAAAGAGTGAGCAATGTACTCATGAGCTGGAGAAAATCAAGTTAGAAGGAAATGGGGAAGTCCTTTCAATCCCAAATTAAAGTTAACTTCAGGAAATTTGCGTTGTTTCAGGATTGGCAGCCAGAGGCCAACCTTCACCACTTTTGTCAAGAACTAATGGTATCACAACTTAACCCTGCTGCCCCTGGAGGTCCCAGCAGCCAGCAGCCAGCAGGGGGAAGTGCCAGAGAGCTTGGTCTTTATTCCAATCTGCCCACTGCCTTTTCAGTTGCAAAAGAAACTCAGACGCAGACAGGCGGCTGTCTACCAGGAGATGGCTTCTTCTGTCTATGGCGACTGAGGACATGACCTTGCAATGGGTTCTCCAAGGAGTCCCCTTAGAGACAAGTGTTATTGCAATTGAGAAAACGTATTCAATCCTCTGTGTTACCATGCTCCGTTTGCACTATTTGAAGAGTATAAAGGTTTTGTAAACACCAGCCTTGGACACTCACAAAGCTGTTTTCCTGAGCCAGGCTGAAATTGAAGTATTGAATCTAGTATTTGTATCCCAGGCAGCAGCAGATGCGATCAGTTTACAAGACTGCAGGAGGTGGATGATTGTCTTAGGCCAGCAGTTTATCTGCAGAGCGCTTGTCCCAGAGCAGGATTTGGGAGTGGTTTTGGGAAAAGACCCTAGTCTACAGAAGTATGTATAACTTAATATATCTCATCATGTTTACATTTCTCTAAGGAAGGCTTCTAACTCCTTCTCTTTGAAGATTCCTTTGAGCGCAAAGGAATGTTCTTCCTCTTACTGCAGTACAACATTTTGCCTAAAGTTCCTTTCAGTAAAATGTACCATTTAACACTGCTGACACTGGTTAACTTCTCTGGTTAGCACTGCCGTTTGGAATTTTTTTTAAAAAAGAAGCATTTGTTAGAATAGAGGACATTTTAAGATCTTCATTTCTTGCTTCCTTCTGGGGTGGGGAGGGTTTGGGGAAAGGTGGAAGGTAATCATGTTCCTTAGGAGTGAGTGGGTCAGTGCTGATGACATGGGTGCATTAATGACTGGGATCAGCCATCTAGCAAAGCCGGAGGGTGGCATGCAGACTGTGGCACACTGAGGTACCACCTCTGCAGGTTCGGGTCAGATTTCCTGTGAGTTGGGGCTTCTTGAGATATGGGCCACATCTCACTGTCCCCCCCCCCCACGCGCCCCCCCCAAACTCAACACACACAAACCAGTGACAAGGACACTCTACAGCAGTGAGCGGTTCTCCACCTTCCGAATGCCGCCACCTTTAATACCCTTCCTCCTGTGGTGGTGACGCCTCAACCATGCAATTATTTTCACTGCTACTTCATCCCTGTCATTTTGCTACTCTTATGAATCGGGCGACTCCTGTGAAAGGGTCGTTCCACCCCCAAAGGGGTCGGGACCCACAGGTTGAGAACCGCTGGTGTAGGGGCTACTTCTCTCTGACATAGGCAGTGGTTGTGACTTCTTGATAGAAAGTTGGCCACTCAGGTTGGAATACTCACATTTTACAGTCTACAGCCTCGCCCGCCCCTACACACACACACACTTTAACGTAGCCCCTACTGCACCCCAACTGACTGCCCTGGTGGCTGGCTCACAGTGACCCTATTGGACACGAAGAACTGCTCCTGCGGGTTTCCGAGGCTGTAAATCTATATGAAAGCAAACTTTCTCCCCACGCAAAGCAGCCAGTGGGTTTGAACCACCGATCTTTTGGTTATCAGTCAGATGCTTTAAATTGATGGGTCAACAAGGCTCTTTACCGCCTCATTAGTGACTATCATTTGCCCGGTCCCCTCGCTGTGCCCACAAGACACCCCTCAGAACTGCGTTTCCCACCCACTGTCTTCGGAATGGTCGCACTCTGCCAGGACCGGACACTGCGAGTACTGAGGGTGTTGACCTTCGGTGTCGCCCTCACAGAAGAGTCCAGCTGCAGCTCATGAACATGAAAATGAGGGGACAGCTTTGGAGCAAGGCCAGCATGCAGAGTCCATGGGGGTAAGCGTGGGGCACAGCGCTGGCAACAGCTGTCACTGCCTATGTTGCAAGTCCTGTTCATGTCACAGGGACAGTAGACCCTGCAGGGTCGGAGGACACCGGCACTGGCTCACTGCACGCTCCAGAGCGCCCATTACATAACGAGTCCAGGCTGATCTCTCCACCCTCTCTGCCTGGGTCTTGCAGTAAATGGAGGGAAGATTCGGCTCTCAGGTAGCCGCCGTTCACACAGACAGAGGACCTGGGGGAAGGAAATGGGTTACGGGAATGGTGACCCCGTGGTTTCTCAGACATCAGAGAACTCATGTCGACACTT